GTCCCCAAAAATATGGGGACAGGGAGGTGGCAGCACTCAGTGCTCCAAACAGAGCACAGTGATGGTGGCAGAGGCTTGGATTGGTCTCAGTTTGTCCCCAAAAATGTGGGGACGGGGAGGGGACAGCTCCAAACAGAGCACAGTGATGCTCAGGATGCTTGAATTGGTCAGTTTGTCCCCAAAAATGCTGCCCAGGGACATGGCAGCTTCAAAGATAGCACAGTGAGCTTGGATTTGTCACGGATTGTCCCCAAAAATGTGGGGACAGCTCTCCGCGCCGACCCCCCCCGCGCGCTGATTGGCCGGGGCGCGGCGCCCCGCGCGCTGATTGGCTGCGGCGCGGCGTTATGGCGCCCCGAAGAGGAGCTGGACGGCTGCGAGCCCGAGGCCGAGCGCGGCCCCGCCGCCGATTCGCTGCCCGGGACCCCTCCCGGGCCTCCGGACGGGCTCCGGCAGGACTCGCTGGAGCTCATCAGCCGCTACCTGCGGGAGGTGGCGGGAGAGGCGCAGCCCAGCGCTAAGAAGCTTTTTCCGGGGCTCCTGGGTGGGCCCGGCCGGCCCGGCGCGGCGGGGGATGCGGTGATGGAGAAGGCGCTGGAGACGCTGCGGAGGGTCGGGGACGGCGTCATGAGGAAACACGAGCTCGCCTTTCAAGGTGTGTGTGGGTGGGGTACTCCGGGAGGAGGGGGAGACCCCCCCGGGCCCCCCTTTGGGCCTGTCCCGGTAGCCGGAGGGGGTCGGGGCCGGGGGTGATGCCCTCGGGGTTGGGGTCTCGGCGGGGTCAGGGCTGGGGCGCGGCCTTGGCTCGGAAAGGGTTAAATGAAAGCGGTTGGGAAGCGCTGAGAAACGAAAGTGAACTTTGTTCCGCGGGGAGGAGGAGAAGCCGCTGCTGCTGTGTGCGGGGGAGATAACGTGGTTACAGATTAGCCCCGGCTCGGCGGATCGTCCCCGGCGGGCTCCGGAGCCTCGGCCCCGTTCAGGGCCAGCGGGGTTTACTGCGGGAATTCTTCTGGGTGACGTGCTCATACAGCCATGCAATGGTTTGGGTTGAAACAGACCCAAAAACTCATCCAGTCCCATGAGCAAGGACATTTTCCACCATCCTAGCCCTGTCCAGCCTGGCCCTGGGCACCTCCAGGGATCCAGGGCAGCCACAGCTGCTCTGGGAAATCTGTTTTCATGTATATAAAGTGTCCAAAGATTAGTTAGCTCGGGATTTCCAGCTTGCCCAGTTCAGGTGCAAGGGGGTTTTTAATGGGGGAATTCTTCTGGGTGATGTGCTCATACAACCATGGAAGGGTTTGGGTTGAAACAGACCCAAAAACTCATCCAGTGCCCCTTTGCACCATCCCAGCCCTGTCCAGCCCGGCCCTGGGCACCTCCAGGGGCAGCCACAGCTGCTCTGGGAAATCTGTTTTTATGTGTTTAAAGTGTCCAAGGATTAGTTAGCTCAGGATTTTCAGCCTGCCCGGTTTAAGTGCAAGGGGGTTTTTAATGGGGGAATTATTCTGGGTGATGTGCTCATACAACCATGGAATGGTTTGGGTTGAAATAGATTTTAAAACTCCTCCAGTCCCAAAAGCAAGGACATTTTCCACCATCCCAGGGTGCTCCAAGCCCTGCCCAGCACTGCCAGGGATCCAGGGGCAGCCCCAGCTGCTCTGGGAAATCTGGTTTTTATGTATTTAATCCAAAGATTGGTGAGCTCAGGAGTTTCAGATCCTCACCCCGTCCCAGTTTAGGTGCAAGGGGATTTTTGATGGGGTCAATGTGCTCACAGAACCACGAGAGCCATGGAGTGCTTTGGGTTGAAACAGACCCAAAAACTCATCCAGTGCCCCTTTGCACCATCCCAGCCCTGTCCAGCCCGGCCCTGGGCACCTCCAGGGGCAGCCACAGCTGCTCTGGGAAATCTGTTTTTACCTTTTATGGCTCCTGCTGGCGGAATCATGGCCATGCAGAAATATTTGTTTCTGGCCTTTACATCTTCCCCTACAGCAGATTCAGCTGTTTCACTGTGGCTTACAAAGTGTGGGCTTTGCAAACTTGCATTTCTAATTTTTCTCTTTGCAGACCTTTTGTTGTGGCTTGGGTGTTTCCCATGGGCCTGCTGCCTGCAGCAAGCAGAGCAGAAACCTTCAGTACTGTAGGCCTGCTAAAAGTTTAAGATAAATTTATCCTGGGACAGGGATCCCAGATGTCTCTGGAAAAATCCATTTTCATGCATTTCCCCCCCTTGTGCAGGGCTGGGGATGAGCTGGGAACGGGAAGTGACCGCTTGGAGCTGGGTTGGAGTCAGCCGGGCTGGGCTGGGCTGGGCTCAGAGCGGGGCAGGCACAGCCAGCAGGGCAGGGCCTTTTGGGGTGCCTGCAGCACTTTTGG